ACACAGACATATACACAGAGGTGTAGACGTGTACACAGACGTGTAGACGCGTACACAGACGTATACACCGACGTGGAGACGTGTAGATGTGTACGCAGACGTGTAGACGTGTACACAGACGTATACACCGACGTGTAGACGTGTACACAGACGTGTAGACCTGTACACAGACGTGTAGACCTGTACACAGACGTATACACAGACGTGTAGACGTGTACACAGACGTGTAGACCTGTACACAGACGTGTAGACGCGTACACAGACGTATACACAGACGTGTAGACGTGTACACAGACGTATACACAGACGTGTAGACGCGTACACAGATGTATACACCGACTACACGACAGGCTGCTTGTTGTTCCGTTGTTTGCTAGCATGAATGCAGTGTTCACTGAGAAGCTAACACTCAATAGCAATGAAAGCATCATACTGCAGATTCGCTGTAATACTGTGATAATATGGTAATGGTCCTGATATAGGAATTTTAATATTGATTACTGCTGGACATTTAAGAATCGCGTTCAGTTGGTTTTTTTTATATATATAATAATAATAATAATAATAATAATAATAAACTTTATTTTATAAAGCGCCTTTAAAGTGGCTTCTCAAAGCGCTGTTATTGCTGATGGAGCTTGTGGTTGGAGCTCTCTCTCTCTCTCTCTCTCTCTCTCTCTCTCTCTCTGAGAAACACTTCTCATTTTTCCTTCTTTAATCTGATAATTCCTTATTGTAGACAGCAGAGAGCCTGTGCTGGAGCTCACCAGCTTAGAATTGGGAACATGTCTCTCTCTCTCTCTCTCTCTCTCTCAGTCACTCTCTCTCACACTCTCTTGTCATCTCTTTCTGTCTCTCTTATTCTCTCTCTTTCTGTCGCTCATACTCTCTCTCTCTCTTTCTGTCTCTCTTACTTACTCTCTCTCTCTCTCCGTCTATCTCTGTTAGTCACTCTCTCTCTCATTGTCTCTCTTGTCTTTCTCATTCTCTCTTTCTGTCTCTCTTACTCTTTCTCTCACTCTCTCTCACTCTATTTCTCATAGTTACTTTCTCTCACGCGCTCTCTCTCTTTCTGTCTCTCTTACTCTCACACTCTCTCACCGTCTCGCTTAGTCACTCTCTCTCACTCTCTCTGTTTCTGTCTTTCTTATTCTCTCTCTCTCTCTCTCTCTCCTCTCTCTCTCTCTCTCTCTCTCTCTCTCTCGCTCTCTCTCTCCCAGGACTCTTGTTATCTTGTACAAAAAAAAGCCCAGAGGCTTGTTAAAACTTTTTAATATACTGTACACTCACTGTAATTGACTGTGATTTCCAAGTTTTCCAAGTTAATTTACTAAATCCTATGAAAGTTTAATTGCCCGGCAGTACTTCAGTCGAGAGTGCATAAATCATCCCCCAGTCTCCCCCGTCCTCGTCCCCGTCTCCCCCGTCTCTCCCGTCTCCTAGTCCCCTAGCAGTTCTGCTTGCCAAGTAGTGCCAGAAGCATCCTGTGCCCTAGAAAGGTGGCCCAATTCATCACTCGGCAGCGGTAGTGCCAGTATTGTTTTCCACTCGGTCGGTCCTCGTCTGTCCTGCACGCTGCAGCCTGCATGCTCCGGGCTCTGAAACTTCACACTGCTGTTCCCTCCGAGTAATTAGAGCTCCGCCAGGGTCGCTGTCCAAATGCACACACGTCCAACTGAAGACTCCAGATTAGGACGCGTCCAACAATCATCTGTCTGTTCTTTTTAACAAACCGTCCTTCTGTCTGTCTATCTATCTATCTATCTATCTATCTATCTATCTATCTATCTATCTATCTATCTATCTTATCTATCTATCTATCTATCTGTCTGTCTGTCTGTCTGTCTGTCTATCTATCTATCTATCTATCTATTTACCTACCAGACTGTCTGTCTCTATCTATCTGTCTGTATGTCTACCTGTCCGTCTGTCTATCTATCTGTCTACCAGACTGTCTGTCTGTTTATCTATCTGTCTGTCTCTCTATCTGTCTGTTTGTATGTCTGTCTGTCTGATTATCTAGCTCTCTATCTGTCTGCCTGTCTGTCTGTATACCTGTCTGTGTCAGTCTGTCGGTCTATCTATCTATCTATCTATCTATCTATCTATCTATCTATCTATCTGTCTATCTATCTGTCTGTATGTCTGTCTGTCTGTCTGTCTGCCTCTCTATTTATCTGTCTGTATTTCTACCTGTTTGTCTGTCTGTTTATCTACCTATCTATCCGTCTGTCTGTCTACCTGTCTAGCTCTATCTATCTGTATACCTGTCTGTCTATCTATTCTGTCTGTCTGCCTGAATTATGAATCTGTAATTTTCTATCAGTCTAACCGTCTGTTTATGCATATGTCTATCTATTTATAATAATAATCTATATATTTGTCTCTTTGTCTCTGTCTGTCTGTCTGTCTGTCTGTCCAGCTAACTGTCTGTCTCTTTGTTGCTGTCTGTATGCTTTACTGTCTGTCTATCTGTCTCTGTGAATCACGCGTGTCTGTACTTATCTGTCTGCCTGTCTTTCTGTCTGTCTGATTTATGCATCTACTCTATATATTTATTCATCTGTACTTACCTTTTGTCCTCTCGTCTGTCTGTCTGTCTCTCTGTTATTCCGTCTATCTGTCTGTTTTCCTGTCTGTCTGGGGTTTTTTTTTTTGCATATACAATATATATTTAATCTGTCTGTCTGTCTTTCCATCCAACTGTATGTTGTTCTGTCTGTCTAGCTGTGCACTAGTCTGTCTGTCTTGTTCCTTCTATCCACCTGTCTGTCTTTCTTTCTATCAGTATGTCTGTCTGTCAATCAGCTATCTCTCTGCTGTTCCATCCTGCTGCCTGAATGTATCTGTCTATCAGACTGTTTTATCTATCCATCAGTCTGTCTGTCGAGTTTATCTTTACTTCTGTCTGTCTTTCACTCTATCAGTCTGTCTGTCAGTGTATCTGTCTTATCTTTTCTGTCTACATAGAGCATGTATCTAATCTGTCTGTCTGCTCTCTCTCTCTCTCTCTCTCTCTCTCTCTGTTTGGTATCTAAGCAGATGGGTGTGTGTGTGTATGAGAAGTAGAATTTGCATTCCTGCGTTCCTGCTCTTTGTTTTCTCGGTGTCTGTGCGTCTAGTCGAGATGAACCTGAAGCGTGTTATTAATATTTCCAGGCGATGCGAGGCTGAGTGATGGTCCGTGCCGGAGCTTATTAAAACAGTTATTGTCTCTGGTTGCCAGGGAGAAATGCAACACCATAATTAATGGCATTTTACAGCTGACAAACAGCCTGGCTTGATGAGAGCAGAAAGGCCAGACAGTAGCAGATCCAACCTCGTAAAACACGAGCTACATCTGTGAGAGAAGCACAGCTGGATCCTCTGCCAGAATTCGCTCTCCTCTCTGTTTACGACGGAGTTCTTTGGAAACAGACTCGGCGTCGAGGTTCTCATCTCTTGTTCTTTAAAGAGCTCTGACTTCTACCTAATCCGTATACGCGTTGTGTCAGTAGGCTTCGCTCGCTCGATGTGTCACTCACTGACCTCTGTGACTGACCAATAACAGAGACGACCCGTGAGACGAAAGACAGCACAAGGACGGGAAATAACAAGCAGCGAGCGCTGACCTGCAGGCCAGATCTCTCCGTAGCATCCCGCTGAGTCTTTATGTGCTTCTTTTTTCCTTTCTTTCACTCTCTCTCTCTTTTTTATTTAAGAGGCCCACTCAGTGTGCTCGCCACTCCAATTAGTCACACACCCATCCGAGTCGCTATTTAAAGCACAGTACAGGCATACTCATTCGTCTCTTATCACTTATATAAAAAGCCCCGAATGATTTCTCCAGCTGACACGGAGCGCTACTGAGGAACGTTCAGCACCGAATTCAACAAGTTACACAAGAAAACACACTTCCTGCAGCGTTCTCAGAACATGATGTATTAAGGGTAGAGTTTCCACTTAGACAAGATCTAACATCGGAGAAACGTTTATCTTAATGTTTCCTCCAGGCCAAAATTGTTGTGGCGAGCATGGAGGAACGTTTAGGAATGTTGCGTAGGAAAGATCTCGTTAGATTCAGCATCTTGGGAATCAGAAGTTGCTAGAAGATTTAGAAGGTGATTTGCAATTTTGTCTAGATTATTTTTTGCCCAGTAGACAAGTACATTGGGCGGCTGTGGGTCAGGTGGTAGAGCGGGTTTTCCACTAATCGTAGGGTTGGCGGTTCGATTCCCCGCCCACGTGCCTCCACGTGCCTCCACGTGCCTCCACGTGCCTCCACGTGCCTCCACGTGCCTCCACGTGCCTCCACGTGCCTCCACGTGCCTCCACGTGCCTCCACGTGCCTCCACGTGCCTCCACGTGCCTCCACGTGCCTCAGTGTCCTTGGGTAAGACACTGAACCCCAGGTTGCTCCCGATGGCAAGCTAGCACCTTACGTAGCAGCCCTGCTACCACTGGTGTGTGAGTGTGAGTGTGTGTGTGTGTGTGTGTGTGTGTGTGTGTGTGTGTGTGTGTGTGAATGAGAACCAGTGTAATGCACTTTGTAGAACCACTAAGGTTAAAAAATCGCTACATAAGTGCAGACCATTAACAACAATTACCATTACAGTGTGTCTCAACACTTCCAGTGTTTTTGATTTTGTTAATAAGTTTGGCGACAGTGTTGGGTTGGGTGCGGTGTACTCGCCGGGCTTCCTGTTCAAGTCCATCGCAACCTTACGACAGCGTCCCGATCCGGCCATGAGAACGATTTCAATACGTTCTTCTTTTGTCAAAGGAGTTCTTAAGGCCTATCTTAAATATATATATATATATATATATATATATAATATAAAGTAAGTATGAAACATGAAGTTCGAAGACATTTTGCTAAAAAGGGTTCATTTCCCCCTATTTATGGAGACTTTTGGGGACACCCTGTAGATTCAACAACCAGAAAAAAAGAAGGAAAAGTCCTCCCGCTTGTACTAAGTGAGCAGTTGAGGGTTAAGGGTATTATTCAATGGCCTAGCCGTTGCAGTGCTGGGATTTGAACTCATACCCTTCTGGTCAGAGGTCCAACGTTATAACCACTGAGCCACCACTGCGCCGAACGGGAGAACTTAAAATCAGTCAACGGAGTATTACGAAGCTTTTGTCTGAAGTCCAGAGTTAGTTAAAAATCTTTTATTTCGAATGCCGCTTTGATTGGTCTTCTTTTGTGTGCATATCATAGAAGTTCTGAGAAGACATGATTATTTATTTAAAAAATCGTTTCCATGAGCGCGTAAGTTTATCGTTTCTCATATCATATCCTGATTGCCAATGCCGTGAGCTCAACAAAAGGAAGGTGATATCAAATGTCCACTTGGGCAGAAACAAAGGAGGTTGCACGAATGCCCTTTGGATTAGCACCAGCTCTTCGATTGGCTTCTTAGAAACTGTACGACGTGAATGTCATGACCTGAATGACTGCTTACTGTAGGGTTGCTAAACCTTACTGAGATGATGATCAGGCATCAAACTAATGTAAGGGAAAAGAGACCACATGTAGCATGAGGTGTTGATAGTATTTTCTCTCGAGTTGAAGTAAAGCCACAGGGGCCAGTGGAATTAAGCAGGTTTTATTTTGACTAATGCCTCATGGCAGTGGCAAGGGTTTGTGAAATGGCCTTGCTAACAGGAAAGGATCAAAAACCCACTGGATGAGCGTGACCGCTCCTCTCTTATCCTCGTTCTGAGTTGTAGTAGTCGTATGTGGTTCTTACAGGAATAGAGGCCACTCTCATAAGGTGTGTGGTTTTATTTTTCTTGTGTGGTGGGGTGTGTGTTGTGCTCGTGCTTTTGTGTTATGTCCCATTTTGCTCGTCCACCCCTCCCTTTCATGCGTATGTTTCCAGGGCTGAATAATTTAGCGGCTACTTGGCAATATGTGGCTATGTGATAGCGCTGCCAGACGGGAGAGGAAAAATGCCTCCTGTAGATCAGGTGAAATGATCCCTATATACCTCATCTTTTTTTTTTTCTTTGGCTGAAACCTGAGAGGTGAAATGGAAACCCTTGCTGCTTTTTTTCCACACCTCACTCCTTCTTTTGTTTTCTCCCCTGTTCAAGAATCGTGTAGTGCTGCTTTAGTCTTCGTCTTGGCAAGATCGATTGAGGGTTGGTGGTTTAGCGCTACTCTTGACATTTCTGTAAACATTGCGTCGCGAAGGAATTCTGTCTCCTTTGGGAGCGACGGTAAACTTTGGTTTGATCCTCATCTGCCACCTTGCTCCTTGCTGTACCCTGAACTAGAGCCAGAACAAGGTTTTTTTGGCTGCCAGGACGAACTGCACAACGACGGTGACTTTGAAAGGTATGCTCATCTTTCCATGAAGATAGATCCCATAACTGATTCGAGCAACCACCTGAGGGCCATGGCTGTGAGGGGAACTGTACCTCCTCCTGATTACTACCCATTTGACACTGCCTTATCTGCTCAGCCGCCTGAAGATCTGCAGGGATTTTATAGAGGAAGCCACCAGCTTCTTAGCAGATCAGGCTCGCATTATGGGCTGGGTGCAGGAGGGGTTAGATCTGCCTGGGATCAAGGGCAAGCTAGGGCTCCTACTCGTGCACCTACACCTGGACCTGCTCCACCTCCCCCTCCACCGCCTCCTCCTCCTCCTCCTCCTCCTCCCCCACCCACAGCTCATGAGTTGAGCCGTTTGTACAGGGATTCTCTAGCCTTCCCAGACAGTCAGCGTATCCGCAGTAGAGCCGCCTCTCCTGCCTGTTTCGGGATTGCGGCCGATCAGGCCTCTCTGGCAGGCCATTCTGGTTACAACGAAGTCAACGGCCTTCATTTTGACCACCCTCCTTCCACCTGTATCATGATGGATCCTGCACCCAATTCTATTGTGGATGGAAGTGTACATCGGGGCATGTCTGCTTATGGTACCGTACCTGCTCAAAGGTTGGCCTATGATCAAGCTTATGATGCCGCTACGCCAGCTCAGCTCACCACTGGGATCACAACCCATCACCCATCAACAGCTGTTAATATGGACCCAAAGAGGGCTGTGGATCCAGCTTTCCTAACATATCTGCGTACCGAGGGTCTATCTGAAAGCACCATATCCGTTCTGTTGCAGCAAGGCTTTGACTCCACCAGCATGCTGTCTATGATGGAAGAGCATGATGTTCGCTCCATGGCTTCAAATCTCGGCCAGGCCCGAGTACTATCCAGGGTGGTACTTAACTGCAAGACAGGAGGCACAGGAGCACCAGCAATGCGTGGCCGTTCCAACAGCTTCAGCCACCGTAACGACCTCTACACGCAGCCTCAAGGATTGACCATGGACTCCCACTTCTTGCAGCAGCCCTCAAACACCCTGCAGACGGTGTCTCCCAGGATAGGCGAGTTTATCAACCGCAGACCAAGCAGTGCACCTTCTCAACATCTGTTAGAAACCACAAGCTATCCTGGGATGCGTTCTCTTGGCGGGTTTCAGGCCAATACAGGGGTGCAGACACAACCGCTAGCGATGTACAACCCCCATACTGGTCTGCCAATGTCAAGCCACCCTCAACCCCAACAGCCAGGGATTTTTAATACCTCTGGTCTAGTAAACAAAGCTTTCTCCAACCCCTACACGCCTATAGAGTTGATGAAGAGAGCACCTAGTCTACCTCAAATGCCTCAAACCTCAGGTGCTCAACCCAGTCCCCAGCTCTTGAGGAAGGGGGCTGCCATGGAGAGTACGGTCATGTCTACTGGTACCACTATCCAGTCTCAGGCTCATAACCAGAATAATAAGATGACCCGCCGTACTGGTCCTCCAATTATTGTTTCCACCATGGCTTCAACTGATACAAGTAAAAAAAACAAACTTTCTTCACTTTTCTTTTCCTGTCTTCTATCTCTAGATTTTAGCTTCTGTATATCTTCTCTGGTGACTATCACGATTTAGATTTATGGCTGATCATTGCCGTTTTCCCTGCTGTACATATATGACGCATTTTTCCCTAAAAGGAATCCTTTTTGTTTAGAACTTTAGGAGATTTTCAAATTCTTTCCTGTCTGTGCTACCACTCAAGCAACTGTTTAACAATTAAAAGCGATATTTCTTGGACTGTTCAGACATTTTTTGGGAACTCAGCTTGAATGTATTGAAATTTGTGCGTTGAATTCACTCGAGCTGCTATTACCTCATGAAAATCTTGAACTAAATGTGTATTTGAGGCTTGTGTTTGTGTCTGGGTGACAGAGATGTCTTTTTAATGTGGACAACATTTCAGAATGTAAATTACATTGATTAGAACGAGCTATCCTATCTATCCTGTAGTATATCTAGTGAAGGGGGGGAAAAAAGATCTGTAATATATTTTGTTATATATGCCATGTGACTCAAGTATAATATTAGAGTTAGGGTCAAACCAGACATTTGTTGGTAAACGTAGCTGGAAACATTTTCTGTGTGGTCTAACGTCAGTTATATTGGACTCCCACTCTGTATTTCCTTCTCTGCTGAAGTAATAATAGTCGTAAATCCATGAAATCCCTTTAGAGCTAATAGGATGCAGAAGGCACGAGCACGTGGTTACACCAGCTGATTTAAGATACGAGACTCGAGTTAGTTGATGTGTTGGAGAGTTATGGTGAAGATTGAAAGGGTTTAGAAATCGACAGTACTGGTTTATTTTCCATAGCCTGATCATCGCTGAAAGATTCAGGATGTGATTTATATATTTTTTTAAATCTTTTGTTTTTCCATTTCTTTTATGCTCATAAATATTGTTCATGGCTGTGCGTTGTTTTTTTTTATGTAAAGAGATTTTAGACCATTTAAAAAACGCTATATAATATATCAATATTATTAATATAATTAAATGATATTACTATTTTGATTTAAATATGAACAGTTGTTGATACAGGATGGGAATGCAGAAGTTTCTGAACTCTGGTCTGATTGGTTAAACTGGTATTAGAGGTTTCTGAACTCTGGTCTGATTGGTTAAACTGGTATTAGAGGTTTCTGAACTCTGGTCTGATTTGTTAAACTGGTATTAGAGGTTTCTGAACTCTCGTCTGATTGGTTAAACTGGTATTAGAGGTTTCTGAACTCTGGTCTGATTGGTTAAACTGGTATTAGAGGTTTCTGAACTCTGGTCTGATTTGTTAAACTGGTATTAGAGGTTTCTGAACTCTCGTCTGATTGGTTAAACTGGTATTAGAGGTTTCTGAACTCTGGTCTGATTGGTTAAACTGGTATTAGAGGTTTCTGAACTCTGGTCTGATTGGTTAAACTGGTATTAGAGGTTTTACTTGATGTCTGATTGTTAAACTGGTATTAGAGGTTTCTGAACTCTGGTCTGATTGGTTAAACTGGTATTAGAGGTTTCTGAACCCTGGTCTGATTGGTTAAACTGGTATTAGAGGTTTCTGAACCCTGGTCTGATTGGTTAAACTGGTATTAGAGGTTTCTGAACCCTGGTCTGATTGGTTAAACTGGTATTAGAGGTTTCTGAACTCTGGTCTGATTTGTTAAACTGGTATTAGAGGTTTCTGAACTCTGGTCTGATTGGTTAAACTGGTATTAGAGGTTTCTGAACCCTGGTCTGATTGGTTAAACTGGTATTAGAGGTTTCTGAACCCTGGTCTGATTGGTTAAACTGGTATTAGAGTTTCTGACCCTGGTCTGTTGGTTAAACTGGTATTAGAGGTTTCTGAACCCTGGTCTGATTGGTTAAACTGGTATTAGAGGTTTCTGAACTCTGGTCTGATTGGTTAAACTGGTATTAGAGGTTTCTGAACTCTCGTCTGATTGGTTAAACTGGTATTAGAGGTTTCTGAACTCTCGTCTGATTGGTTAAACTGGTATTAGAGGTTTCTGAACTCTGGTCTGATTGGTTAAACTGGTATTAGAGGTTTCTGAACTCTGGTCTGATTTGTTAAACTGGTATTAGAGGTTTCTGAACTCTCGTCTGATTGGTTAAACTGGTATTAGAGGTTTCTGAACTCTGGTCTGATTGGTTAAACTGGTATTAGAGGTTTCTGAACCCTCGTCTGATTGGTTAAACTGGTATTAGAGGTTTCTGAACTCTCGTCTGATTGGTTAAACTG